TTAATATTGTTTTGCAGCTGTTGTTTTGATTTTCCAAAGATACATAGTAAGTACACATTTAACGGATTTGATAAACGAGCCATTAATAATATAGAGCGTCGTATAATATACTTGTTGATATTTTTACTACAACAAGAAATGGTTTATTATGGATGTGTTTAMATTAAATAAGTTGCTGGGCTATAATCAATACTGCAACAACTTCTGTGTGTATATATATATACACGTTTATTATGTGGAGAGCTAATAATTATTTCACTATAATGAATGCACATTGCACAACATTGTCCCAATGCCTTATTTGCAAATCCGTTGACTGTCAGTTGAAGCCTACGTGGGRCGTTTGATACAATACGAGTTTATCACAAAAAAATTATATTACGATCTACACGACAGTGTCGGTGAAATATTTAACGTACTTATAGGTCCACTCGATGATTAACAATAATATAATTATTGTCTAATAATGTATTTGGATATAATGTGGAAAACGGCCTATATAACACGTGTAACTAAGCCACTAAGGGCCTTGCTGCGTATTTTCGGTATGGTGTAGTAGGTACTTGTTTCGATTAGAAATTTTTATCATCTCTAAAAATAATTTAAATAATGTTCTTACATATTGTATTTTTATATACATAACATTAACAATAACCTTCGTATTTTTTTTTCTGCGTGATAACAATTTTTATTGCACGTCGAAGCGTTATTATAGATGCGAAAAATTTATAAATGTGTAGTCCCGCGAGTCTCGGAACCCACTCGTCATCCCCGCCGCCCAATTTCCCTCGAACGACCAGGACCTATACTCTCAATGATATTCTACTGAACCGTATTTACGTTCGGTGCACAATTCGGGTAATATCGGTCGGTGACAAACATGTGATTCGCGTTTCAGTGCCGATGGAAAACAAGAAATCACGTGTTTGTCCCTTCGGTGGGCTTTTTGTCTATTGCGTGACGCCGTGACATAATATCATAGTATAATACGTTTATTCGTCTATACTATATCTCGTCAAGGTCATATTTTATACTATGGTTGCCAAAATCATACGATATATACCTAGTGTAACATTGTCACATGTAAGTACCCAACGTTCAGATGTGCATAATGAGTGCGCACGTGTAAAAACACGCAGAACAATGGTCTGCCCTAAAAGTTTCACGTTTTAATTAAATTAATATTATATATGGTAGCGATTTTAATACTCTTTTAGAAAAATATTACGTTCTAATTCGAATGTTACTTCCAAATCTGTAAAAATTTTCCGCAAGGCACAGGTTCTAAAAATACGTTCGTTTTAAACCGCAATCCGAAACCGTATTATCTACAATAATACGAGTTATCACGCTGTATTCACACTTTTTACTGTCTTATATAATATTATTATAATCATCATGATATCTACATGATAATATTGAATAGTTTCGTTGTTATTGTAAGAGTTATTTACATCTTCATAATATAAGACATACTTGGTACCATTACCATGGCATTGAATAATATAATAATATATCTCAAGGATTTTTCTTTAGTTTTTCCATTTATACACGATTTATTTTTAAATATTATGTATAAATATACAGTATAATAATCTTTTTAAATATTTAATTTGTATTTAAATGATTAGGTAATATATTATTGAGCTTTAATTATGTAGTTGTAAGCAATTCATGCACACAACTCGACACAAGACATCGATAATTTCAAATAATATTATCAAATTTACATCGGAAAATACGTCAGTGCTATTCTATAATACACAGATATAAATATACTATATTATAATGCATTAAAACAAAAATAATTTTATTTATAAACCATTATTTAGAAAATTATTGGTCAAACATTAACCATTAATTAATACGTATTATTTAACGAGCTGATGAAATGTTTAACATTTTTAATCAAGAATTTACATGAAGCACAGGATTTTCTATTTTTATTTATTGACGTAAATAATTCTAAAATGTATATTTCATTATTATGGCTTATGATTATCTATAAATATTTTTTTTTAAATATGTTAACTATTTTTATAAACCACACATTGTGTGTACGGTTACGGTTACCACTTAGTATTTCTCACTATAAAAATAGATTTAATCTTATTGCTTTAACTAGGGTTACCATACGCCACGTTGCATATTATTATAATACTTACACAACACATATAACACGTCTTGTATCCAGGAATACAATTTACAAGGATTTCGTTTCATTTGATATTTTATTAAATGTACAGAAATACCATTTTTTATTAATATTAATTGTCCATGTGCACCTATAGAGGTACTTACTACAGTACTTCAATGACTGCATAAAAATATAAAATATACATATACATGTTGTATTATCAAACAATGTGACAAACAATAGTGGTAGGTATTTTAAGTGGTTTTAAAGGGAGTTGATTTTTTTTGTTTTGTTTATCACACACGCAGCTCACAACATGCCTGACATGGTAAATTAGAATTACTGACATGTATTTTGAGATTTGTACAAAAATAAGATGTAATAATCAAAGCTGCAACAGGGTTCTATCTCATTGAACACGACGTGTTTAAATATAAATTTGATTTCAAAATAATCAACTAAGTGGTTTGGGTGTAATCCTTATATCAATGCAGTAGTCGAGTAATTATTTCGTATAGGTATATATTTATATACGAAATAGTGCGAATAGTACGAATAGTGCTTCTCATATTTTGTAATATTATAATATTATTAATATTCTACAAAGTCTTCATAAATAATAATTACATTGCTTTATTACAAATACTTAAATACTTCAAGTACCTACAGTGGATTTGTTAATCAATCTCAAATCTGATAATTTCTTATAAGTTAAACTGATCGGTTGGTTGGACACGAGCTTCAGCCATTTCCAAAGAAGTTTTATTGGCGAGGCTCGTAGAAAGCTCTGCCAACACGACCATGGTAGATAGAATCGGCTGACACGAACGTGGTGGGCCACGATTTAGGTATACTCAAGGAACAGTCGAGCCGGTAACCATTATATTTTCCGTTGACCGTAGGTTGAACTTTGATAAACGTTATCTCTGTCTGCCTTTTTATCTCGATCAAACCGTKTTCGTGTCGTAGTTTGATCCTCGAACCGTGTTTTGGCCTCGTTGCCATCCGTCTGCTAGTGAGTATTAGTATTTTATAATGGTATACAATGCTACGGAATTCCGTCGAACGAGCCTTGTACGGAAGTTGTATACTTGTATGTGCAACTTGCATCGAGCTCCATCACTTCCGGTCCATCGTAACGAGTCGYCATTCGTCAGTTTCACGAGGATTATGCCTTAGTGTCATACTACTRTCATACATTATTATATCATGATCATATTTTGTGATTTATTCGCAAATTATTTCCAGCTCTTTTTTAAGGGTATAGTGTGTATAACTCTTGAACGCTTGAGCCTCCCTATAATATTAAAACATTTTAATTTTTAGTTAAAATTAGATTACTTAAATGTCATAGACCATATTATAAGTTAACGTGTCATGTAACTTAGGTAACTTAATGTTTACAACATTTAGTAAAATGTTTTGTTTTATTAATTTGTGTTAAGTCAACGAACATCGGAACATATGGTCTTGGGTGCTTAGCAATGCGCCATTGCMATCGAGTATAATGKACAGTTGTCACTTCTACGAAAATTATTCAGATTTTATTGTGTACAAATTGAATAGGCTGGTAAAATCAAAGTAAATCTTYATTCTTGATAGTTGTGTATAAATGTATAATAATAGTATGTTGCATGACGGTTTAAGATTTTAAATAAAACAATTGTACAAGTCGTATTTTTGTGTTGGCTAACAGATTTCTATGCGACATCCATTAGCTTAATGTTAATGATAATAAACCACGTACAATATAAATAACGTGGTCGATAATATTCAAATGTTGGTAGATCGCCGTTTTGTTTCTATCGTTTCTGATAAATTATAATAATACGTATGTACATATTATATTTTATGTTGCATTAATTGAAATAATGACCTAAAATAACTCATTATATTTAATTAAACAATCAAACATTCGAAGGTCCTATGATGCAGAAATATGTTGTGTAGGCATATAAATAATAGATATAGATTCGTGGACAACTAATAAATAAGACAAAATCATAGGTACTTGGTCGGTTATCAATGTATAAATACAACGATCACCTTGTAAAATAATTTGTTTTGAGTTCGTACCGAATATATTATTATTATGCGTTTTTATAATATAATAATATATTATATACTACTGTCTAGTTACAACTTCACTATACAGGGGAGCTGCGCGTGTGAATTGTATCGGAGAAGAATATACCTTGACGGCCACTAACAATTGTTAATTTAAATTCCACAAAAGTATTTGTGTGTAAATAATTTCTGTGTGCACGTCATGACCGTTCGGAGCCGTATATTATTTCGTTGTGTGGACGACTGCGCCACTGCGGGTCCAGGCGGCGTGTATTATGTATACACAGTTTATACCTACGGTAAATATTTATGGGCATAATATCTGAGACTTAAATAATAACAACGATAACATCACGAGTCYCGTCGACCCTTGGATCAACGAGGGAGGGTGTGTGTGWGAGAGAGAGAGAGYGAGTAAAAGTGGTTTTACCGACAGCRCGGAGAGCGTTCAAGCATAATAATATTATACCCTTAATTTAAAAATCTCGGACCGCAAGTGATTTGAATAAAACATAAGACGGAAGGGCGCGTAGAGAGCGGCGTAGAATGTATTAATGTAACGGTTTGCGCGGGAAACGACTGTCGACTAGCGGCGGAGGCGCCGCGGTTGTAGTTGTAGCGCACCGTAAGTTCGGGCGGCGCATTACGAGTGGGAAGGGGAGAACACGCGAGTGCGTGTCCGGTACTCCGCTCGGCGGCGGCGGCGGAGCAGGCTGCCAACCTAACTGCCGACAAAGCCGATCGGACCGCTTCGCATCAGCTGTTCGGACCGCATCGTCGTCGCCTAGCCAGACGTCCGTGATAACGTTGTGATACGATAACGACACTGCACGTGTTTGAGGTTATGTTATGTTTTGGAAAAAAGGTTTACGCGAATCCGAAACGCAATAATTTCGTCGCGCTTGCCGCCGCCGCGGCCCAATATTCGGGATTCGTGTCGCCGTTTCGTACTCGTCGCCCGGTTCCGTTTGAACGCCAGGTGATGGATTCGAAGAGCCTGAAGGACCGATTGCTGTTTGCCGTTGTCGGGTGCACGGGCACGGGCAAGACAAAACTCGGTGTGAGGCTTGCCAAAGAGCTGGGCGGCGAAGTCGTGTCGGCCGATTCCATCCAAGTGAGTACACCTAGTTGTATTGTTTCTGTTCGTCGACAATTGATTTAGGTTTAG